AGAGCTCCTTATTCTCAGATTCTCAGGGATTATTCTTTTCTGTTCTGGTGGGATTATGTATAAAGGTGTAACCTAAAATGATGAAATTCACTCTCTGTGTTAGCTTAGATTCTCCTTTGTCTCTCTTTCTAAGAGTTCTCCTTTATTAAGTCCTAGAAGCCCTATGGCTGTAATGCTGACTACTTTCCACTTCCAGAGTTTTGATGCGTAGCAATGCACAGACAAGCAGGTGTATTCCTTTGTGTCTGTCACCCAGGAAAAGAGAGCATGATGGGGTACCTGGGATAAACCTCACTGCAGAAAGACTTAAATCCAGTTAAGCAGTAGTCTCTATGAAGAATGAGAACACTTTGTTTTTGAAATACAAGCTTTTGAAAGAAAGGTATTAAGTTAGAGAGTGTGAAAGAGAAACTTAGGGAGAAAAATGGAACATTATTGAATTGAAATGCAGCTTCAGGAACAGATTATAGCAGAAAATTATTACACTGAAGGACTGTCAGTTCATTTGTTTTTTTCCTTCTTTTTTTCTTCTGGGCCTACATTCCCACAGTAAAAGGTTTGATACTCATATCTTCAGTATTCCTCTTGCTTTTTTAAGTGGCTCATGGCTATTGTTTCCAAACACCTTCTTACCCTGCACTTAAGTCTTCCTCATAGCTTTTACTTGTCGAAAGATTTCCAGAGCATATTTCAATAGCTTGTAGAAATCCTTTTACATCTTTGGTGTTGTAATAATGCAATAATTAAACTAATATTGCAGTATGAAAAAGGAAATAAAGCCTCTGCTAGGACTTAGTGTCTTCAGCTTCTATTTTTGTCAGTATTGGTGGAAGAGACACCCCTGTTCCAGCCTGTGTCTAGAGCTAGCTTCTCACATTTAGTATCTGGGAGGTTCTGAAGATGTGACTGTTGATGACAATAACTTCTACCAAGGCCCAGTGCTTTCAGTGACCTCCTCTTTGCCATGGTTCTTGCTTGTCCTGTCACCTTTAGTGTCACTGTCAATTCTGTGCAAGAAGTGGCCAAAATGGTTTTGAGAATCTGGGCTAAATCCACTCCGTTGCCCGGCTTGTAAAGCCATTGAGTAAGTTCATGTACCACAAAAATTGTTCTTTCTTCACTCCTCCTTCAAGTAACATCCAAACCTCATCTGTAGGTAAAAAGAAATTGTACCTCACCCCCTTTATCCTGAGCCGTGTGTAAAGATGTGACTGTCTGAAGCATGTAAAATTGGAGAGCTGTGTATATGGGGTAAGTTTTAGCAGCTCACCTGCTATCTCAGGATCAAATGGCATCATGTTTTCACTGTGCTCTTGGTAAGCACCGTGTTTGAGAAGTATTTTCTCATCTTTCGGCTGAGATAATAAAATTTAACAAATCAGTAGAAAAAAGGAACTGGTTTTAAATAAACATCCCTCAGTACCTGAAGAAAGAAAAGGGGCTTAGGCTGGTGTAAATCCCATTATATTCTTCTAGCACAGGGAAATGTGTTTGGGGTGTGAAGATTTGACATATATTTTTATTTTCAAGTGTCATACTAATTTATATTACTCAGCCCTTTAACTGCCAAACTGTAAAAGTCCATTACGCTACTGAAAGGAATATACAAATTATCCGCTGGCACTTTAGGCAGCAGGTTTACATATATGCTGTTATTCTATCAGCCAACTAGCTGCACAATTCTGTTAAGCAGTAAGTGAGAAAATTGTATTGCCTGCAAACTAATTGTACAAAAGACTCTGAAATAAGTAATCAGAACCCAGTTCTTTCTGAAAACCAGCCAGGAGATATTATAAATCGCTCAAATGCTCTTGTCAGCCCAGTTCATAGACCCCAAGCTGCAATGTGATTTTGTTCACTATGTAACACAACTTCCTCTCCAGCTGTTGACAGGACTGGCAAACTCAGCTTTTACTCTTCCTAGCTGCTCAGTTTCAGCCTCTAGCATCTTGAAGTAAGTAAGGAATTGGTAGAGATTCCTTCTGGATCTTCCTCTGAAATAAAGTGCAGATCTCAGTATCTTGAATGGAAATTCATATCTAAAAGTCAATAAGAAATTATGAAAGCTCCAATGACCTGGAATGTGCAGTAAATGCAGGTTTTTAACAAAAGTAAATCCACTAACACTTGGAGTGCTAGGTAAAACCCATTTTAGTATGATATAGATAATCACTGCATTTACATGTGTACTAGAGACAGAATGTTTGTTCCTTGAACCCTTACTGCAGTGTAACATGTACTAAAATGCTGGAACACTTTATGGGGACCAGATATGGTCATTGGTAAGATGTGGATCTTTGTTTCTGTTCCCGTAACTCTGCTGAGCTTGTTGGAGGAATTTTTTGCAGCATCTTCCAAGTTCATTTTACAACACCAAAAATGAATATTGAGTGTCTGCTGAAAAATACAAGTCATTAAAGAAAAGGAGTTTAAATTGAAAGGAGATTCCTCCTGTAAGCTAGAGTCCAAGTGACTAGAAATAGCTCCTTTTAGCATTCTTTAGGTGTCAGGAATTTGCAGGAAAAGTAAGTTATACTGTGCCTGCTGCAGACTGTTGCATAGTTTGCAGAAATGTGAAATGTCAGGGTATGGATTAGGAGTGTCTGCATAATGAAATGAGCAATCTTGCATTTATCTTTCTGGTTCTGAATGCTACTTCTTGGTGTTGGCACCTGTACCTTTGTATCTTGGGACAGAATCTCTTGATACTGTGAGAGTGTTCCACCTGTCCTGGTATAGAGCTTTGCTTCCTGAAGTTCTCTGCTATAATTTTGATATTGTTTCTGATCAAGATAATTTCTGACCTTGTGTAAAGGTATCTTTGATCTTGTGCAGAGCATTTCTGATTCCCTGTTTCTCTTCTTTTTTTTTTTTTAATTTTTTTTTTTCTGTAGTATAGATAGGGATGGTAATACTTTATTACAGTAGTATAATTAAGTTCATTAGATACAATTTGTGAAAGCTTTGAAGGTCTTCCTGTGTAGTGGTTGTGCCTTTCTAAGAATGCCGTGTTAGAGGGAGAGGATAATGTGAATTCTTTTTCAAACTTGCCCTTACCATCATTTTCTACCTATCCTTCCAAAGGTGTTATTTCCTAACTTTTCTAATATGTATTGGAAAGACCTTTTGCAGGAACTGTTGTGCTGAATTCCCTACCCACCATATCCTTCAGTTTCTTAAATAGCTTTCTCCACAGCGGCTAAGAAAAGGGAAAAGGACTAAACTGCTTTGACTTTTGTCATTAGCATTCAGGCATACCAAGATCTGTTTTACTTACCAGCATTGCTATCTCACTCATGCAACAATGTCCAAGGGGAAGACAGCCTGCAAAGGCTCGAAAAGGTTGTGCCAAATGTGCTGGTTATATTGGCAGAGTGCATGTTTTGCCATGCAGACCTCCTTTATCATAAGTACTTAACCAATTTTCAATAGATGTAAGTGGTTTAAGTATTACTTCCTGTTGAATTAGCAGTTGCTGAGCATTTGAGTCTTTGTGCAATCCTGCAATCCACTAATGTGATATTTAATGAGGAGACATCAGTCTGGAGAAAGGTAGTCAATATAAATCAGTGTTTACGAAGTGTGATTAACTCTGAAATATTTCATCAATGCTGTGGTCCCAGGCAGACTCTATGCTAATTATTAGAACCTGTGCATGTTTCAGGGGACTTTGATGGACCCCGAGTGCAGCAAACATGGAGCAGCAAAATTGCGATTATGCTCGGACTGTCTCTGATGACAATTTATGCATTTGGTGTGATGACCTCTTGCTTCCCAAGAGGGCAATAAACAGAATGCATTTTCATTAAGATACTAATGCACTTTATCACAGGGGGAAGGGGTTAGAAAATAAAGAAATACCTTTAAAGCGAGATGTGACAGACTGATCAGGAAGATACTTTATTTAAAAGTCAGTTTCCCAGTGTAACTTCTGTTACACTGTTGCAGTCTGTCATACTGGATGTATGCTGGGCTATAGGATACATGGCTGGGCAGATGAATAAGCTGAGTGAATCTGTTTAATGAAAAGTACCAGGGCAAAAGAGAACAGATTTTCTTGCATTTGGACTTGGATACCCAAAGGTGTGATTTAAAAAAAGTAAACTACTCATGTATTTTAGTTGCTTATTTGCAAGCTTTTATTTTCTGATTTTTGAGGATAAATAATATGAATTAAGCAGTAGCAACGAAGAAAAAAAGAGACTGCTTTGCCCATGATGAGAAGGGCTCACATTTAAGGATCGAGCTTGTTGTAGGCCTTAAGAGGGGAACTGGGAGAAGCAGGGGCAAAGGCAAGCATCTCTTTGAGTTTTCACTATTCTGACAGCTTGGCAGGAATGGTCCTATTCCTGATGCCTCTCAGTACAAGGACTTGGCAGAAAGTACAGAGAGAAGAGGAGATGTCCTGGACCAGAGATCTGGCCTGGTAGCTGTAACCATGCTAGATGGGATGGTAACAGTCCCAGTGAGTCCTGCCTTGTGCTCTGTGCCAGCCATAGTGGAAGAATGGTGAAACTCCATGGTACCTGTTATAGTTGATTATGCAGTAAAGCAGTCCTCCTTTTGAATTCTAGACAAATAGAGACTAATGAAATTGGCTAAAAAGGAAAATAAAGAGTGCTCAGAGAAGGAGCCTGAGCCTGTCATTTGGTACAGAAAATAAATGAAAAAATGTCTTTCTTCTGTCAGCAGGAATAACACACATAACAGATTTTCCTAGAGACCATATTTGTAGGGAGACACAGACTCACGTTAGTTGTGACTTTGTATATATTTCTTTCATATAGATGTCTAGATTTAAAAAAAAGGGTGAAAAAACTTCAACTTTTAACTCAGCTATTTATTTTTACTTGAGAGGCCTTTCCTTTCTGTAGCACTGCTTACTCTTGATAAGTTCCAAAATGAAATACAACAGCAATTGTGTGAGTACTTTTTGTATATCTGTTCTGTTGGTTAGTCAGTGACTCTGAGCACCTCTTCCCCTGTCTGTTCCATCGCAGGTAACATAGAGTACAGCTGCCCAGCAACAAATGAATGTGAAATCACAAAGCGCAGACGCAAGTCCTGCCAAGCCTGCCGCTTCATGAAGTGTCTAAAAGTTGGCATGCTGAAAGAAGGTAAGGCTGACCACCTCAATCTGTATCTCTCTGCAAACACTTGCTACAACTGTAGGGCAGTCGGGAAACAAGACTGGTGAGTGTTCTAATCAGTTATTGCAAAGACAATTTTCATATATACTTGCTCTTCCTGACATCTGCTTCTAAGCTATCAATTCATGCTTTATCCACATAGAATTCATCATCATGTGTAGTACAGCAAAATGTACCTCAGCATTCAATCTCCTTCAGTAAGTAACTGATAGAATAACCATCAGAATTCTCAGAGATTTCTTTCCTCCATTCTTTGTCCACTGTTACTCTGTCCCAGTTCTGGCAGAAAACCAAAACATGCACTGTGCCTTCCTTTTATTTAGTCTTCATTCCATCAGGACAAATGAAAGGATTACTTCCAAATTAAACAAGTATAAGTATTGTATGTGTGTGTGTGTGTACTGAAGTTATTTTAACTACACTGGAGCAAATTTTGGCGTGCAGAAGAGGAGAATCCACCCTCCCCCACCTTTTTTTTTTCTAAAAGTGTCTGCCCCTCACTGTAAGTATATATTAAATGTTTGAATTCATCAATTACATTTTGAAGATACTGAACTCAAGAAATGGTGCTGTGTTACCTGGAACCTGCTTCATCTGTGACACAAAGAGTCACTTGGTTGCCTGCTATGCATTTACATTGATGTTAATGTATATGGAAGAATACACTTGTAAGTGCATGTATTACATGCATTATTATTTTAGGGCACTGTCACCACCAAGAAAGATGCTGTGTACTTCTGAACTAGATAAACATTTGAAATAAAATCAGCATAGTGTTCTCTAAGTATTATATCCAGTGGAGAGTACTGTATGTTAAGCAACCACTTCAAAACAATCCTATTCAATTTTGCTTTGTCAGTGTTTGAAAACTCAGTTTTAATAACTGGCTGATTTTTGCAAATGAATTGGTGGTAATGCAAAACAGGGTAAGTATGCAGCTATCAGGGTAAAAATCCAAGAAACAACATAGACCAGTGGTGAGATGATGGGCAAATTAGGTCTATCACGCACCTACAGACATATTCTTATTGGATTATACTTACTAAGAATAAACCTTGTTCTGTGCCACTGCTTTGGCAGATGCTATGATCCTTGAGCCAAATCCTGCTGTCCTTAGTCTTACTTGAGCAAAACTCTTGTCAGATCCGATGGAGATTTTGCCTCAGTAAGAATGGCAGGGTTTGACCCTCTCTTCAGTGGTTATGGGAGAGTTCTTATTTGCCAAAATCCTCGTATAACTGACCACTAGGAGCAGTTAATTGAAAGTGAAATGATGCTTAGATAAACTGTAAAAAGAAAGGGATGACTGGGTATGGCACCTTTTGAAAAGGACTATGCTTCTTAGCATCTTTTTTTAATCAGTTAAGACCCTGTATCACTAGTTACCTAATATACAAATATATTGAGCAACTTCTTTGAAAATGAGACAGTGCTACTAAGAGCACATGCAGGTGAATTGATTTAATCCTTTTCCTGTGAATTTTGAGTGCACTATTGTGCATGCATTAACATACATATATTTTAAAAAATCTAGGTTGTATGCAGCTTCTGGAACTGCAAGAGGAATCTGTCTCCTCTGCAAATGAGTAATTATCTCAGCAAATTTGTGTGCAGATTTACTGTTTCTGCATAGTTTTGTTAACTGAGATAATTTAGTTGGATAATACAGATGTACATTGTAATATTTTTTTGTTTGAATATTCATTGTCCATGGATTCAAATCATTACCACAAGTTTTCTTAATAAGAATTATATGAATTTTCTACTCTAAAAGTACATACCTTTTTCTAAATGGCAAAATAACTAATTACTTTGAAAAGACAGTGTTGTTTATCTACCACCTATTATAACAACCTGCAAGAACCTATAAGGGCATTTTATTTTTTTCCCTCTTTAGTGGCTACTTTTTAAATCATACTGATTCACAGTACATTTGTAAGACTCTGCTTGTAGTAAAGATTTTTTTTTCTTGTTGGAAGGTAGTTTTGGAGCTGGATGTTATTTTAACCTACAGGAAAGTCTGGAGATGACTTTTTGACTTGGACCACATTCTTTATGTACAAAATTAAGAAAGATAATGTACTGACTTTTTGCATGTGTAAAGTGATATAAATTTATTGATTAGTATGGACTTACAGCAAGAATAATTTCAGCTTATTTTATCTCAAGTGTTTCTTTATGTACAGACAAGGATTTCAGTCCCATGCAGTATGTCAGAGATCATGCTGCAGTAAATCTATTCAAATGTAAACCTGTTCAATTCAATTACCAGTTTATAATAAAATTTGCTGCTGCAGCCTCCACGTTTGTCACAGCAGTCTCTACATGCTGATGGCACAGCATGCCTGGAAATTGACAGCCTAAATCTATTTACAAAAAAAATTTAGTTGCAGACCTGAAATAAAATCAAGTTTAAGCAGCATTGAGAGGAGCATCACATTCCTTACAAGAACAGCACATCTGCCAGGGTGCATCTTCTCCAGAAATCTTACCTTGTTTGTGGGGAGTTTTCTTGTAGAAATTTATCTTTAACAGTTTTAAAGTGTAATCCAAAGTGAAACAATTATCAGATATTGTGCTTCCCTTCACATTGGAAAGGACATTACTACATTGTCATTTGTGAATTGTCATATGAATTTCATGGTAGTAATCACAGTGTCTGGAAAAAGATTCTGAGTTTTAGCTTGGCTTCTAGGGCAGGGTCCGAACAACACTTATAACAAATGTATAGGGTAGCTTCCCTTATGACAGCTGCGTGTTTAATCATTTCTCTGACAAGATAATGGTGTTTTTCATCAAGCATCCAGTGTTTCTGTGGGAGACCTGGTGTTAGGGTGGTGGGGCTGTGTTTTGGGGTCAAATCCTGCGAGGGAATTGGATTTCTGGTCACATGAAGTACAAGGAGGAGTAGGCATTTGCTGTACGTATTCTCGTGGATGTTGGTGGGGCTAAACCAGCAGCACCTAGATCAAGATTCTTAATAATTTTTAGGATGTGGGCCAGGAGCCAGAGAAGGAATGCTACAGCAATGCCAGGCTGGGCTGGGCTGGAGTGGGATTGAGGCCCTGGCTGCATCTCCTGTTGAGTATCATAATAAAGTTTGTACAGACTGATCTGGAGGAACACATTTTAGTTTAGCCCATGCACTGTTACTTCAAAACATGTCTGGGTCTATGGATGGGTTTTGAGGATATTATACTTCATAATGCAGCATTCAGCAGAGGCTGATGAGCTTTTAGTCACAAGACAAATATGAGGGTGTTGTGTTTTCATTTTACTTTTCTAGTCAAGACTTATTAGCAGGAAAGCAGAATATGTTGCACTCAAAGAAGAAAATTTACATTTTTCTGTATTTAATTTTGTGTTAGTGTTACAAAAAATCAGGTTTTTGAGTATCCCAATTGATTCTTCTACTGAAATGCAGTTTCTTTGACTGTAGTTTTATTCTGGTGAATTGTCTCAGATTCATGAGAACAGCTGAAACAACATTAAAGATTCTTGTATGGTCTAGGGAGAAACTTTTCAAATGTATCCCATAAGATTTCTTGAAATAATATTGCAGTTGCTAAAAGGGTGCAGGGAGACATGTACAACAGTTTGCCCTTTTTAAAAATAAACATTTTAAGACATTCAGTAGTTTTCAGTTCTGTTGGTTTATAATCTGTCTTTTAAGTTTGGCCTTTCAAACTCTTTGGAAGCCAGTGATGATTTTGCTTCAGGTGGCAGAATTAAATCTGTGCTCATGTGCAAGATTGGGTATTTTGGCTATTTCCTTTTTATTCAGCTAGTTGGATTGAGAAAAAGGGGTTGATTTTTTTTCTTTTCTAAGAAGAAAAATAGGATGTATCATACATTAGATGGTATGGGAAATCTTAAGTAGATATTTGACTTTTTTTTTTCCTATTGCTAGGTGATCTGAGTAGAATTCAACATCCAATCTTTAATTAGTACGACATGCCTATTAATAATATTTGTGTGACTATTTACTAGCATATGTTTGTGGTAGAAGATATTATTCCAAGTTTATTACAGGACAGATCTTGCTCTGAAGACCTTCCCATATGAAATCATTCCAATGGAGTAATTATTCGAAAATAAAATTACTTTTTGTTTCAGATGCAGCATGTGTATAACTGTTTTTACAAGAGATTGTTCTATATGTTTCAGTTTTCTTAATAGAGGAAAAGCCTTAGCCTCAGTTTTTCCTACCCCTGTATTGTAGGGAGGTTAAAAACTAAAGTTCAGAGGGGAATCTGTTGAGTGGCACTAATGTAGCTCTTAGACCATCTGTAATACTGTATCCTGTTCTATCTGTCACAGTTCTGTGCAGTACTAGTGTGTATTTCTTACAGGACTGTTAATACCAAAACATCTCCCATGTATCTCTCATTTCTCGTATTTGGGTGTTGTCAGAACTTGTTATGGACTATGTGTAGTGGCTGATCTGCATTGCTTGTTATTTCAGAAAGTCTAGTTCCTAAATGAGTGATACATGGGAAAAAAAATGGAAGTTTATATGAAAAATAAAATATACCCCAATGAAATGGCATGGGTCGCTTCATGTAAGTGTGTTTGTATTTTCCTTAGGAATGGATGACATTTACAAATTATCATCAGTCACTTGGTACCCAGTTAGAATAGGTAGAGTAACAAAATTCCAGCTTAATTAGTCCTGTTATTACAAATGAGAAGCCAGATCCTCACCAAGTATTAATGGGAGCTCTTAGAGCTGTGTTAGATTGCTGCTCATTTTGTAGGTTTAGCAATCTGTGCTGTGGGGAAATCAGCAATATACCTTTTTGTGTCTGTGGATCTTCACAGTTGCTTGTACATGACCCATCATTCAGGCTCTAGAAATTATCAGAAATGCTCTGAGCTTTTCATCTGGCAGTGCTGACTTATGTGTAACCCTTCCCATCACAGCAGAGCAGTTTGCATGTTGTACTTGCCCTGCTTGATGAGTAGCC